AAGAATAAAACACACCAGGATTACAGGAATTAGCAATAAAAAGCCTGAATATGCAAAAAAAGCACAATAAAAACATAGAGAAACTCAGATAATAAATATTTTAGAAAGTCTACCTGACTGTGGTAGTAATTAGTGAAGATGAATAAAACAAGGACACTTCACATAAGAATAAAATTAGTCTTACTATCTGCAGTGCAGTCTGTTTTTTAGGAATTTCTTTCTTCCCTTCATGACTCATAGTGAAAGTGCTCATGCTTTAATGTTTCTTCATTATAATAATGATAATCACTGGACATCTCACTTAGCAAAGGCAATTTTGCAAATGAAATGGACCGTTAGTATTTTCCTTGGTGATTTTACCTGCATTTTTAAAGAACAATTTTAAAAATAAACTGCTTCATAGCTTACCCTTTTTGCAGAGGTGTGTCAGATAGACAAAGTCTTCATTTCTGTGATGTTTCAGATGAGTCAGTTCTAGGATTTTCATTTGGATTAGAACTGTGCTTCTGAAGTTAATGTACCAGCCATCCCTGTTTGCCATGCTTTCATTCAAACAGCAGAGCAGTTTTGGAGTGTGTGAACTGGCTCCCAAGCCACAGAAGCCACGTGTGCCAGGGGTGCAGCTGACAGAGAACAGCCACTGTTGGGGTCTGCAGACCTCTCTGGCGCCAGCCTGGGGGGAAAACTAGGGCATGGTTTCAGCATGGCTTCCTCAAGAGAAACATGACTTCCTCTTCTGCATGGTATACAGTGACAGGACACGTGAATGGTTCAAAACTGCATATGGAGAAGGATAAACTAGACAATAGAAAGCATTTCTTTACCAAGAGAATGATCAAACACTGGATCGTGCTTCCTAGAGAGGTCATTGATGCCCCAAACCTACCAGTGTTTAAGATGCTTTTGGACAATACCCTTAAGAACATGCTTTAATTTTTGGTCAGCAGTCAGCAATTGGTCTGGATGATCATTGTAGGTCCCTTCCAACTGGAAAGAATGTCCTATTCTATCCTAAGACTAACTCTTTTGCTCTGAGTTACACTTCTTGCCGGTGGAGACATTGCCTATGACCACTAAAAGATAATTCTTACACATAAAGAAATAGAGTGCTTGAACTATTTAATAGCATATTTGTATTTATTTCAACCAGAATTAAGAAACAAAACCCAGATACTTCAGTAGACTACATAATGAGCAAAGCAGATGCATCAAACTCTTCATTCAATGGGAAAGTGACACTAAGGCCTCATCCTCCAGGCTGCAGAGCAGCATCCAAGTGTCCTTGTGAATGTACAGTCTGCCTTTAAGAATTAAAATTGGAATCCAATAATTTATTTTCTTTGAGCAATATACATTGAGAATATTGATCATTGTATCTAAGATTAGTATTATTCATAAGATTTGATTATTTGATATATTGATTTCTTGACCAAAATGTATGCAAATATGTAGTATAAATCCCTTTATGTTGTTGTTAAATGTTATTGTTGTCTTAAGTACTATGAAGTTGTGGCTTTTTGAGTGCACAAATTACGGTGTGTGAGGTCAATTAATTTTAAACCTTGAATTACCAGCAAGTTTGAAGATTTTTTTCTTTCCTCATTCTGACCTATTATTATCAACTAATATGCTAAGAGCTATTTTATCTTTCTGAATACATGATCATATCCTAACAGATACTCCCTGAAGTATCTGGAGTACAAATCTCATTTTATGTGTATTAAAAACAGTAGGGAATCTCAAATCAGTTCACTAAATAGCTTTTCTGCAGCACCTTATTGAGAAAGAGAAAACTAATATAACTGCCATTTTGCTGTTTTGAAAGCGTTAAATTTGGCAGCCATTGAATTCCAAGCTTATATTATTTCTTCACAAAGGACATTTGAAGGTAAAATGAGAAGAAACTTTATTTTATTAAAATTTGAAAGTGACTAGAATGTGTGTCTCAGGGACTGGAGTAGTCCTTTGCACACAATATTCAAGATCTGATGGGAGAAAAGGAATTGTTTAATAAGAATGAAATGTTTAATACCATTAAATAATCTAAAGTTTGATGATTTACAGCTCAAGAAAAACTGTGGTGTACACTTAGCAGTTTTCAGTTTAATTTCAGATACAGACAGAGTTCTCTTGTAAACAAATCAATGTATTACATTATTATTCACAGATCCGTTCTGTACCTGCTTTTCATTTTGTGTCAAGTTATCTGATAGGAGGCAGCATTAAGAATACCCTTGGGCCAGTCACTTTATCTCTGTGTGCTTATGTTTATCTTCTGTGTTAAGTTTTGACAAGGTTTTTTTGTCCTTTGTAAGTATTGTGAGCTCCAGAGAGGAATACCAGTTGGAGCTGTGCACAGCAGTAGTGTTGTGCAGACTGCAGTCTCAGTGCAGTAGCTGAATGAGTATATTTTAAGAAACATTGTTCAATTTCTTTAATGCTTCTAAGAGGTGTCAGTTTTACAAATGGTGTTTTAGAATGAAAAGGATAACATTAGTATCCATGGGGTGAAGGAGAGGTGGTTATCTTGTAAGTGCAAACCAGCAAAAGTATTCAATATTCCCTGAATATCAAGGTCTTGATTCTGCATTGTTTCTGATTGCAGAAGGACTTGACATTAACTTAAATGTTTTAAAATTATGGAAGCGTAGAGTATGTGAGTGCAGCACATCTTCAGCTGTAAAATACCACTTGCTTTTGACAGTTATATTTTAAGTGTCCATTCCTCATAATCTGAAAAAAACAGGAGAGCTTGTTATTGTAGTCTGCTTCTCTTTCTTCTCCTTATTACTACCATAAATCTACCTGAACTGAGAGGGAAAGCCAGAAAAGTTTATTTGCTGGAGAATTTACAGCCAAACAACCAGAATTTGCTAAGACTGGACAACATGAAAGTTAATGTGTAAATTAAAACTGGACTGCATGGAAAAAAAAATTAATAATTCATTTCATTGCTTCTGCGAGAGACCATAAGTATCATTTGAGGGATTGCTATAAAGGGTGAGAGAGGGAAATCTGGGGTTTTTTTCAGTATTGCTGCCAAATACAATTCACACTCTTATTTCAACACAGAATTCTTTTGAAAATTAAAATTAAATTAACCTTGATAATTATTTGGAAAAAAAATAGAAAAATGGAGGTTACTTTTCTGAAAATATAATTGTCAACTATATGTGGAAGTATATATCACGCAGTGCCTGATATTGTTAATATTAGTATTTGTGATTTTGAAAAAGAAATTCACAAACAAGTGTAATTCCTTTCCCTTCTTCTCACCAGGCAAATCAGTTCTAGAGTACTGAATGTAATAGAAAATTCTACCATTATGTGACTTCTATACTCCTGTATAAAAAATATCTGCATGAGTAAAGGCATCTACACAGTGTGTAAAGTGATACTATTATGGAAAAGTACACATATATACACATATGCCCACACAAATGCTTTGGTTTTGTATAAAATTCATCTGTGCTTTTAAATTACTTCATCATTAAATGATGTTAATAAAACCTGAGATGCTCACCAGATCCTAAGAAACCCTCTGTGCCTTGGAGGCTGCAAGTTCACTCTGAATTAGTCAACAAACAAGAAATCATCTGTACTGGGATAATTACAGCATCAAATGTGCTAGGGCTACAATCCATTGAAAGTCCTTCAGCCACTTGACTGGACTTTGCAATAAGTTTCTTTTTCAGCAAACGTTTGTTTGTGGTATTCCATTATATACCTGTCAATCTAGGGCATTAAGAGTGGTGGACATCAGTGACCTGTTAGGAAATCTCTCTGTAACATCTGTTCTTATGTCTATGCTGTGAAGCAGAGGGAAGCGCAGATTGGCATGTAGAAATGACAAAATATGTACATTAAAAGGATTCTTCTGTATCATGAAGTATTCATTGTGCTTCTTACCAATTTATGTCTGAAAGAAATAACATAGTTTACCAAGATAGTAATGTTTTTGGTGGTTTATCATGTTACTTCTGTGTAGCCAATGAAAAATTCATGAAGCTCACAAGAAAAATATTAAGGGTCAGTAGTTCATGGTACAGTATATAGAGGTACATAATGCACAGTGCATTTTAAAATCTGTCAGTTTAGTTTTTTATGAATGCTTTATTCTCAATTTTACAAGGTCAAATAAAATAGTACCTATCTGAAAGATAAGGAGTATTCTTTAACAGTATTGATTCTACAATTAGCAATCTTTTACCACAGTTTTTAAGAATATATCTTAAATATATTTTTGTTTGAATGAACTATTTGAGGAGCAGAAGCATTTCAGTATGTGGGCTGTATTCTACCTATGGAACTAGTCAAGATTTATTCTGAAAGCAGAATTAAGTCTTAAAGAATGTGTTGAAATTGCTAAGTTTTCATTTCAAACCTGTGAAGCCTGAAAGCCCATGAAAAATGCAATAAAATTAAGGATGAAATAAACATTCAGTGAATGTATGCAAATTGGAAAGATTTCTATGTTAATGTACCTGACAAGATTTGTATCTGGCATTTTTTTGTTTTCATCTACTAAGGTTGTTGAAATAGTAAGTATTTTATTTTATTTTATACATAAATTTTCTTTCTCAGTTTTCTTTTCTTTTCCCCCATTTAAGATTCCAGAGGCTTATTTTATTAGAGATCCTCATACTTTCCTCCTTACAAAGGACTTTATTAAGGTATATATGTTGTTTTTTAGTGCAAAAAAAAAAGCTCTCTCAAGACCTGAACTGCATGTCCTCACAGGTTAACATTTTCACATATAATGCCATTTACTGGAAATGAGAATGGTTAGTTGGTTAACTGAAGCATGCTGAAAGGAGAAGCAAAGCTTGTCTACAAAATACTAACACTTGGATGAGTCTGCAGCCTGGGAGGAGAGCACCGGGTGAATTTTCTGGACTTTTTTCATGGCTGACTTGGGATATGCCTGCATTGTCACACAGTGTGTTGACCTCTCTCCTTGATGCATATTGCTCATGACAGTCCCTCTCCCTTGCCCGCAGGCCATGGAGGCGCAGATACAGAACTTTGGACAGACGCCATCGCAGTTGCTCATTGAGCCCCATCCACCTCGGAGCTCTGCCATGCACCTGGTGAGACATGACTGCTGGCTGGGAATGCATTCCCTTTGAACCGTAGGATCCCTTGTAGGTCATAAAGTACTCATTAAAGCAACACTTTTAATGCCATCCATTGCCCGTGCAGCCATACTTACTTCTAGTAGCAACAGCTCAGAGTGCTCTAGCAGAGCAAGGTGGAGGTGTGACTAGCTTCAGCTTCCCATAGTCCTGGCTTTTCCTTTCTAATACTGTATAAGAAGGCCCTATCTTAAAGCATATACACTTGATAAATACATATTTGGATTCTTGTTTCTGCAAGTGGTAGGAATGACCACAGGCTTTCCTTAGAGTGAGCATGTTGTTTTGTTTTAAAGGATGCATTGTTAGGGGCTGATTTATGAACAATGTATGCTTGAAAAAAATGAAGTATTGGAGTTCAAATAAATCATGCTGGAGTCCTCCCACCCATTCCCCCAGGAGAATGCAATGTATATTCTGAATTTAAATTTGAACTCCAAAATTCATTCCCATCACATTCTTCTCTGTGCTTCTTGCAAAGAATTGTATCAAATAACCAGACTGAACAAGACAGATCCCTGTGCCCCTCAGTGCCTTTGATAAAATGCTTAGAGCTAGATATTTCTTTTGAGCTTTGTAAATCAACACTAATACATGCAGTAGTTTCAATTAGTTTATCTATCTACAAAAAAATTGCTCTATCTAATTGTACACTACAAAAGTAGGAATTGATCTGGAAGTGTTGTGTTATTTTAATTAATGTGTAGAAGTCAAACATACATAATATTTATTTTGTATTCTTAAGATATGGATAATTTATTTTTAATAATAATGCAAAGTGATAAGCAGCAAAGAATATTTGAACTTCTATTCTTTTTGTTATAACAGTGATTGAAAAAAAAATCATAAAAACCCATAATCAATAACTATCATTGTCCATGTACAAACAATTGTGTCATTTGTACAATAATGGAAAAGACTTACATTATTATAACCTTATTAGGCTACAGACTCCCTAATAAGCATATGCTTTACATAGAATTAAACTGTCTATGTTTGGAAGTGCTGTATCTCATATAAGGAATTCATTAAGAAAAATTAAATATCTGTGAGTTTTTGAGTCCCTCTTAAAATTTCTTTTTTTAACTCTTGTTGTTTAGAGAATTAATATTTATTATGCATTAATTGATTAACTCATTACCACATATCTCTCTTTTATGAATATTAACTGCTGAATAATTTTACATTTTACTGTATACTAATTAATGCTAGTGGTCATTTTACGCCTTGTAATGATAACCCTTACCGTACCTATTCTCTACTTATCCTCGTGTAATGTTCCAACAATAGCTTCTGATCTTGCTCTCCTCCATCAGTAGAGTAGATGTGCAGGTAGTGTTGTTTTCCCTGTATGTGCACATACTTGCCTGCTCTTTTTTAACCTCATTTTCCCTCAGACCTCCTCACTAATTGTGTTATCCCTTCTGTTTTCTTCTGCTCTCTTCTCCTTTCTACTCAACAGTGTTTCCTTCCACAGAGCCCCCTCATGTTTAAAGATCAGATGCAGCAGGATGTCATAATGGTGCTGAAGTTCCCCTCAAATTCCCCTGTCACACATGTGGCAGCCAACACACTGCCCCACCTGACCATTCCTGCCGTGGTGACCGTCACTTGCAGCAGGCTGTTTGCAGTCAATCGGTGGCACAACACAGTAGGTAGGTCCTCAGGCACCTTTCATTCAAATTTGAAGACACCTTAACAATTCAGCTTTAATTTTGAGTTCAATTTAGCTCACTCACCTGCCTGTGCACAAAAATTTACTGTTTCTTCTGGTTCGTGTCAAATAATCAAAGCTTCTGTTTTCTCTGGTGTCATTCCTAGAAACACTCTCCCTAACAGCAGCATATCACCATGGCAGCCAATCGATTTGTGATTACTTCAGGATCAGTCTTTGATACAATGCTTTTCAGGAGAGTGCTGCTGTTCTTGACACAGCCAATATTAATATGTCCCAGGTTTCAGGGAGCTTACATCCCTGTCTACTGCTTGAGAGAGATTTCATGTCTGTTCAGGAGCTTGTAATATACCATCCCCTGGGTCACTGTTAGATTTTCTGGGACCCTAAGCAAACCAAAGCAGCCAGACACTGAACTATTCTGAAGAGAAGTTGCCTCATTCTCTCCCAAAAGGTCACTGAAAAATTTCCTTCCAGCCCCTCTGCTAACCTCTCCATATTGCCACTAGGACTGTCCATGTCACCTGGACATGTAGGTGCTGAGATTGTCCCAGGCATTGCTAAGTAGGTGGTCGGGCCATGAGGTACTGTCACAAGACTTAAAAATAGGTTTCATTTTCTAAGGTAGCCTCCTGCTGTGATAGCCCTTATGCTGCAATATCTGGAAACTTTTGAGTTTCTTCCCACCTAAGAAAAAGAAGAAGGTACCTGGTATTTGAGAGTGTAACTCAATATCTGGCTCGGGAGCTTTGTAGAAACCAAGCAAAAAAGGAAAATTCCTCCACTCTGTATGCACAGGAGAAGACCCTGGATGGAAATAGGTCATACTGGTGAGAGATTTGTGATATTTAAATTAGATGTCTACCTCCAGTATAGGGATCCTAGATTTCACTGACTTACCTGTAAACATCTCCTAGGTGAATAATTCAGATCAGGTATCCCATCTCTTGTGCACAAGGCTGGACAAAGACTGTTGTTACATGCAATAATTAGAGGAATGAAAAGGAGTTCGATTATAAGCATACTGTAGAGGAACTATAAGAGCAAGTAAAGTCCGTTTCACTCTGAATTCTTGAATAGCAATAAAAAGTTTAATATCACTCTTATTCCAAACATCTGAATAATGTTGGCATGAATATTAAATTGTGCATGTGTTCAGAAAGTACCTGTTCTCTGTTTACAAACAAACTCTTCATGGTGATTTAGAGAATACGACAGGAACAGAACAGAATATCTGATTGCCTTTCACAAATCCATACATTTATGATACTCATCAGGTGTAACTGTGTTACGAGTAAAAAGTGGTTTTACCATTTCTTTAAAACAAAAGGGAAAAATTCAGAGGGGAAAAAAAAAAAAACATTTTAAAAAAATATTTTATTACTGTATCCTCAATGGAAGACCCAAATGTCAGGAATGATTCCGAGGTGCAGAAATTGTGCCATGTTATTTTAATGCTCTTTTGACTAACATTAATTGGCTAACTCCTAATTATTTGCCCTCAATTTTTCAGGGATACTGTCTCTGAAAAGTCCAGGTACTCTATACACTATTCATGTCTCCTCCATTTGAGGAAGCTTATTTAGTACTGGAGTAGCCCTTTCTCATCCAGACTGTCAAGTGAGGGGGAGCCAAAATTCCTACCCATACCTTACTGTGAAGGAGTCAAGGTCATTAATATTGCAGTATGCTGGAGTACAAGGGTTTCCTTAACAACTTGCATTTGAAGTCATTTAGTTTAGCAGAAGTCGTGTTGATCTTTAGGGTACATGTGATTGTAAGATTTTAGTTTTTCATCTATACTCTTGTAAAACATAAGTCGTGTTGCAAATATGAAGAATTAATTCATGGCATGAACCAACCATAAATTAAATTTCACACCAGTTGTAAACCTTTGGTTTAAATTGCAAAGAAAATAATACTTTATATTATAACAGAAAGAGACAGGAAAATGACACTATTTAGAGAATCAAAACTCATTGTAATGATTTTTCTTTACTTTTACATCATGCCTGGCAATGTCTTTTATTTTGCAAGAGGCTAATCCAGGACAGGGTATCAATTTCCTACTATTACCATAATATTACTTTAATAACTCACAACTCCAGTGTAAATGATAGGTTTATTACAGAAATGTATACACAGACCACTCAGTGTAGAATGTATGTAGAGCTTTGGAGTTTATAAACAGGAGGAGGCATTTACACAGTCATCTCATAATAGAAGTGAATTAAAATTTAAGTTAATACCAGTAAAGATCTGTCCCAAACCATTTTGATTTTGGAAGAAGAGACAGAAAGTAGGGAAGGAGAAGATCTCAGAGCAGTGTTTCAGAAGATGGCAGAACTAGCTGTAGACCAGGTTTTCTTTTACCTCTTCCAGTTGTCTATTGCAGTAGTAGAAAATGGAGTTTATTCTTCAGAAATCTGTATCTCCTATTATGGAGGATATTCTTGTGCGACATGGCAGTTCATAACAAAAATTGTTCTTTCAGTAATGACAGTTTCACTTATATGCTAGGGAAGGTGCTCAGAAGAGCTAAAGGAATGCTGTCTGTGCATGAGAGCAGATAACACTAAATATGCAGACACTGATGCACGTTTGAACATCTGAAAGGCTACTCAGAATTGAACAAACAGGGATAATTGTGGCAAATTTACTGTAACCTGCAGTGTTACAGCTAAAAATTCTACATAAGCCCATGAAAAGGTCCAAAAATAGTTCTCTGTTATACTATTTTAAATAAGTTATTTAATGAATGTTTGTGGCTGTAGAAATTGTGATGAAGTTAGCACTGCTGCATTTATAGTTACTAGTACATAACTGAAGAATTAACAAATGTATATTTGTGTAGCACAGAGGAAGGAATCTCAAAAGATTAATAGAAAAAATAGTAAGAAGTTACTTTTTTTTAAATAGATAATAACTCAATAGTGAATCTTTAAACCTAGAAAAATCATATAAAAAGGTTTCTCTATGCTTTATTCTTCCTTTCATGGGTAGGCCTTCGGGGAGCCCCAGGATATTCTTTGGATCAAGCCCATCATCTTCCAATTGAAATGGATCCATTGATTGGTATGTCAAGATGAAAATGTAGTGATATATTTGAAATTATGATTTTCAAGAATTATTGATTAAGCTATATTTGTATATTATGCTTCATTTAACACAGAAAATAGGAAAATATTTATTCTTGTCAGTCCTGGAGAACTAAAAGCATTAGCTTTTATTAGCTTTTATTGATGCTGAATGAATTACATGAGTGCTATTTGTTATTAACATCACCAGCAATTGGTATTTAAGAAACAACCAATTAAGTCAGTTACATTGTCAGCCTATATCTATAATGCTGTTGGCTTATCAGGTCACATTAGTAAAATAAAATGTGCAGGTCTGGTGGAGTTCACATATTTTCTTTTCTTACAGCCAGAATTGTGTTTATCAGCGAAGATGTAGATCTATTTATTTTCATTCAGTTTATGATTTGGATTGTTTTTATTGGCATTACTAATTTAATAATGAAAAGACTGGATTTTAAATTGATGCATGATAGCATTTTTAAAATCCAGAATTTTTAAGAAAGCCAATTATTTTGAGGAATAGCATCTGTTAAAACTCTTTGATTGCAGGACTCCTTAGCGGTCATAATTTCTCATTAATTGCAACTATTTGATTTGTGGTTATTTTGTTTCAGTAACTTGAAACAGAAATTGGGCATGGGGAAGGTTCTTAGAGGCAATTTTGTAGCATTGGTAAGGAAAAAATGCATTTTTAAACATCTCCGAAGGAAAAGCTCCTTTTTTGCCTGTGTCAATATTCACAGTTGAAAGATTTATATAGAAGTACCTCAGGAGAGTTAGCTTTCTCATTCTGTGTGCTTCATTTCATCATAAAATGCAATGGTTTTCTCTTCAGTTTTTTTCTCTCAAAAACTAGGGCGCAGCTATTGCGCCCACCTGTTCTGGAAATCTGAGTAATTTGTTATTCATTGTTGATGGACATAGAGGGTCTGCTAATTTAAATCATGTTCTTAGAATGTATGTAAACACAATATCAACTTTCACAAGCAATTTTAAAATATGATTTTTTTGTTGAGTCTCTTATTTCATTCAGTTGTGAGCAATTTAAGTAGAATAATAAAAAATAGGGGGAAAAATTCAGATTATGATGTCCTTTAAGTTGTGTTCCTATGTTAGGAGAAACGTGCTTCTCAGAGTGACTTTTATCTCACCTGACTTCAGTTAGCTGAAGTCAGTTGTCAAGATTCCCTCCATAGCCACTGTAGAAAGACAAACTGTCCTCTGGAGCTGTCTAACACTTAGACAGCTGTTACAGGGTGAGAGGACTTTACATGTGAAATGATGTCTTCATCTCCAGTGAGACTGGAGGGAGTGTAGGTAATTTACTTAGATTATATACTGAACTTTTAGAAAATTGATATTAAGTGAGATGGAACACACTTTTATTGTATTGCCATATCTTGTCTGCTGTGTCACAGGGAGTAAAGAGCACATTAGCTGGGGACTCCCAGTCCTTCTTAACAGCTCCATTTGGCAGTTGAGGTGGTGGGACTCTGCATAAACCATTCCTTTTCCCTTTGTCTGGGAGAATTTCCAGGTGTCATTGCCTCTTTTGAGATTACTGCCCAAGGCCTGGCTCCCTGCTTCAGGAGTAGGTGATAAGACCAACTTTTCCTGTATCAGAAAAACACATTAGGTTTGAAAGATTCATAGAATCATAGAATATACTGAATTGGAAGGGACTCATCAAGACCATCGAGTCCAACTCCTGGCCCTGCACAGGATGCCCCAAGTATCACACCATGTGCCTGTGAATATTGTCCAAACACTTCTTGAATTCTGCCAGGCTTCGTGCTGTGATCATTTCCCTGGGGAGCCTGTTCCAGTGCCCAACCACCCTCTGGGTGAAAAAGCTTTTCTTGATATCTAACCTAAACCTCCCCTGACTCAAGTCCTCAAGACTGATGCCTTTTCCTGAAGTCCTTTCGCTGGTCATGAGAGTGAAGAGATCACTGTCTGCTCCTCTACTTCCCCTCATGAGGAAGTTGTAGACTACGATGTTTCCCCTCATTCATTGGCTGAATCCTTATGTCTTTGATCTGATTAAGCATCTGGAGGTATGGGAGATGCCAAGGTCACACAATACAAGCTGAGTTATTTTATGTAGAAGAGATACCAACCAGCAAGAATTGACTTTCTGCAGTATTGTTAGTGCTGACTTAGTATTTTAAATGGACTTCCACCACTTTCTTCTAGTTCAGATTGGTTTTGGGGAGTACTTCAGCAGAGCACCTAAATTATTACCACCTATTATGCAGCGCGTCAGGCAGTTTGTAAGAAATTGTCATCTCCTGTAAAACCTTTTCTCTTATTCAAAGCAAAACTAGAAATCTCACAATAATTTTGTGTTTCTGACACCCATATAGACAGCTCTAAATGTTCGTATTCAAAATGCTTACTCAACAACAAATTCACAGTTCATTGAAAGTTAAATGTATTCATTTTCTCCTGTAAGTGCATGACAGGAAGGTGTTGAAATGGCTTACTTGTAAAATGTGTTTTGCATTTTGTTACAGCCAATAACTCTGGTGTGAACAAACGGCAGATCACAGACCTTGTGGATCAGAGCATCCAGATCAATGCACATTGCTTCGTGGTCACAGCAGATAACCGCTACATTCTTATCTGTGGTTTCTGGGACAAGAGCTTTCGAGTTTATTCTACAGAGACAGGTGACCCTAAATACAGCTCTCTGTTTCTTTGTGGGTCACCAAGTGGACAGAGACTATTATCTTAATAGTACCATATCTAATGCCTGTGCTTACTTCTCAATAAATGATAAAGGGCAGTTTATAAAATACTTCATTATTGTTTGAACATAATAACTTTAAGATGGTTTTCCAATGGAAGATAAAGGATGTAAAAGAAAATAGAAAGGCATACAGTTTTATTAGTGGTAACTTTTGAAAACCATAGTTATTTTCAGGAAATTGGTCATATCAAAAGTATCAACCAAAAATTTTGTTACAAAAGTTTTATGGCTGTATTGTTTCTAGCTCTATTTATTTCATATAGTAGGGAATTAGGTTGCATAGCCTGCTACAGGAACTGATATTTGTTTCTTTTTCTGATTACTTAGCTTAATATCATTCAGTATATTGCTAATAATATATTGCTAAATACTAATCGCAATAATAGAAAGAAGGAGGTGATAATAACAGTAAACTTTAGTTTAACATTAACAGAGAACAAATAGACAGTTTTAATATAATAATGTAGCACAATTCTGGAAAAGTTCATGTGCTGTCTTATGCATATCACTCATGAAATTCATAAATAGTGTTCTAATGCCAGTGCTTAAATACTGATGGAGCCATAACTCCACTTAATATTCTGTGACTGCAGCACTGACTTGATTTTTCAGAGATAAGGGTTAGACTGTCGATTGACACAGAGCACAGCCTTCAATAGGAATAAAAAAAAGAGGAAAAAAAGGTTTTATTTTTTTTATTTTTTAATCCTGTCACAGCATGTAGTGAACTCTAATTAAGGGACATGAGACAGAAGTTTCATTTGAAATGAATATTAATTATATAGGTAATAATTTCTAAATGTTGGAAGTACCTTAAAAAAATTAATTTGTATGACTTTGCACTTCCACCAGGAAAATTAACTCAGATTGTGTTTGGCCACTGGGATGTCGTGACTTGCCTTGCCAGATCGGAGTCCTATATTGGGGGTGATTGCTACATTGTGTCTGGGTCTCGCGATGCTACATTGTTGCTTTGGTACTGGAGTGGCCGACATCACATTATAGGCGACAATCCAAACAGCAGTAAGTATCCTTTAAAAAAACACCTTCCTGAGAGGTCTTCTGTCACACCTATCCATTTTAACATTCCTTCTGTCAGCTTCAGAAGTGATTACCAAATATATCGATTACTTCACTTATAGATTGAAAGTTGGTATAAGGAGAGCACCACATGCTAAGAAATTCATTGATTACTAGCCAAAAAAATGTTTAAACACTCTGTGTGTGGTAACAGATAATAGGATGGGAGTGTAGTTCTAAAATTTGTATCACTTATTGCATCGTGTCATCGTAAACTAGAACAAGATGGTTATGGCCTTTAAGTGACAGGACATATATCACTATATTTTGACTTTCCTTCCCCTAGAAATAATTTTTGGCATTTTACCTTACTCCCTTTGTGCTACAGCATGCTGTATCAGCTGCTTGCCTTTTCAAAAAAGGAATGTTTCACATGCCATGGAATTAAATGAAACTCTCTTGGGAAAGGTCTTTCTACAGCAAGCAAACCTTTGGAGAATCAATATGACTGAATAAAAATAGAAAAAGATAAAATGTCAGGAAGAGTTTACATTTCATTTGCATGGAATTATCAGTGCTTGGCAGAAAGAAGGGGACATGATAATAATAGTTAGTATTAATATAGGTAAAAGGGCACTTAAAGCACTCTAATTTAAAGGTCTCTTCACCCAAGTCAGAGATATGACCAGAGCTAAAGACAAGAGCAAGTTTTATCCATATACTAGAGCTGTTCTGTACAACACTAAGTCCATTTCATCTAAAGCAGTTTCTGAATTCTGATGATTATTTTCAACACAAGGATTCTATCCTTGGAAAAAAAATGTAAGAATCCATCACTATCAGTTTTGATCACTGATTCAAATACTGTCTGGAGCATTACTGTCAGTTACCGACATGTAAGTGAAAGTATTTCTTCAACTGAATGGCTGTTAGAAAAGTGTTTTATTTCAAAGTAAATATTTTGTTAATTTTTCAGCAGTAGACTTTTTATTGAGTTTTAATATTTTCCATTTGTCTGTAAGCAGAGCAAAGGGGAGACGGATATAAACCTCACTTTTTCACTAGATTTAATTTGCTTTTATAACAGAGGAAATGGAGGGGAAAAAGTAAAATCGTGTTCCCATAACAAATTTCTCTAATTTTTATGTATATCCCAGGACTTTTTTAGCATGTAATTCTCTGATATGGAGAAATTCAGTCAGTGTCACAACACTCTGTTTAGGTTGACACCATTTTGTTTCTTTGAATGCCTGTGTGATTCATGTCAAGTATTAGTAATTTCTATGTTAGGAGAAAAATCAAAAGAGCTTTCCACTTTCATTTAAAAAAAAAAAAAAAAGTAAGACTTTCCTTTACCTTCTCTGATTATTATGGGACTTGGACAGCCTTGCAGTTTACACCTCCATTCTGGCTGATACAAAATGCTTCGATTCTTTTCCAGATAGAATTATTTCAGTTCTGATACTGTTTTGTCATCACTTACATATCTGAATGCACAAAAGTGGTATTTTTGGCATCTCAGGTTTAATATCTTAGCTGCGTAACTTTGGAAGTGTCTGCCTTGGACGTCTTGGAAGGATATGTATTGGTTGACAGAAATAAATGAAAACAAAAATTAATTGTATGACTTACTCTGCATCTCTACCTCTGTATGGATAAGGCTAAAGAAAAGGTCTTATAATCAGATTCATGGGAGACTGTGCTACAAATAGTCATATCCAGTCAAATGAAATCTTACAGGCACAGGTACCAGAACTCAGGAAGATTAAATACCTAAGTCCACTGTAGTTGCTTTGAAATATAATTGGTACAGTTTTTAAATATTCATGTTGAAGACATGTTAAAGACTGATGTTGAGGAAGATTGATGTCATCAATATTATTACTATCTCTATTCATTGAATTAAAGTTACCATGGATATGCTAATTATGTACTAGGACTGTACTATAACCAGAATTTCATGTGTTGCAAACCTATCCTTATTAACAGCTACTTTGACTTTTAAGGAACATACATTAATGTGGATAGATCACAAAAACAAAGGGCTTTTTAAAAAAGGGCCTTTAAAAACTTCTACAATAATGAAATGCTTCTGCTGAAGTAATGACTGGTAACTTCTGTTCCCTACCACAAACAGACATGATAGTTGTCCTATGACTGATTCCCTGTATACTAGTTTTCAAGACTCAAGCATTCTCAACAATCCTTATGAAAATATGTCTGAAGTTTTACGTAGTTAAAACCACTGAAGTACTAAAGAAATCTTTTCTAATCTACCCTTCTATAGTTGCTGGTAGAAGATTAGGATTTATCTTATAGGAAAAATGAAAGTGAGATGTTCACTGTAGGTCAAATCCAATTACTTAAGATCTTTAGAATCAATTTCCAGAAAGATGTAGATGATAGTTGCAGGGGGAGAAAGGGGGATTGGTTTTTTAAAAGCTGTCATCTGGAGACACAGATAAGGTATTTTATACCACAGGCTTTAAGAAGGTGAAGAACTCAAAGAAAAATGTCAGGTATAGTACCTATCTGGATTAGATGCTTGACTTTATAATTATCTTTTAAGCTGAAACATGGTTAATTATCAATTTCAGCTTCAATACATCCAATTACCAAAAGGAACTTTAATTGTTTCAGAAAATCTTAAGGGGGAGAAAAAGCAAACCCCCGTCCTAAACAGTTTGTTTAGTTTACCATTTATATAGAAAAATGTAGATACTATTTCGTTCGAAAACATAGCAGTCACAATCACTTGTTGTGAAATACTCTGGGGCAAAAGATTGTCAGATCAAACTTCTTACAGATTCTGCTAAAGTTCCATGTTCCAGAATCTGATCTTTACTAAACAACTTGTATGTCAACAATCTAACCTGTCAGACTTGTGTAGAGTCTTTTGCTGAAATACCTGTGCAGGTATGTGCTCAGTGGGTGACTTCAGCTGTGTCTGTGGGAAAACCAGAAGCAGCTCTGGTTTAAAGAGGAGAATTGAGAAAAATTTGCATCTTGGATAAGACTCTTACAAGTGGCTGCTCTAGCTCAGTAGTTGAAAACTCTCCTGTAAGAGCATGTAAGGTTAATTTTATAATTTTAAAACAATTGTTCCAAGCAATGTATTTATTAAGTTAGCGCTTTTAATCTACAATAAGTATAAAAAATGAGTTTCTGGTTTAGTTTGCACTTGTCATTGAAGTTTTACCAGATTTTAAATACAATGTTTTCCACAAAGTAGCTTTCAAAAATAGCTTGTAAAAAACCTTCGATGAGTTCATCCAGACAGTGGGAGACTAAGTTCTTGACCACTAGAGACTAATCCTCATTCCCATATTCACAAGCATATGCTGACTATCAGCTATAAATTAATGTGTGAGGGGACCCTGTGAACCTCCAGCTTTAGTAGAAAGCAAAATTCTTTTCTATGCTCTTGTTTATGGATCTTACATGACATGATGATTGCATATAACTAGAGATAAATCAAGAAATCAGGAGCCCAAACTGCATACTTTCAACAGCAGCATATAGGGCATATCCTATTTGTCTGGTCTAACAAACTGATTTTATGGCCGTGCCATTCCTATGTAGAGGTGATAGAAAAAGGTCCTAGACTAGACTAAAAAGACTAGACTAAAAGGCTGGTGTTTGGGGGATGCTCCTGGAAAGTGAGAGATGTGGCATGATTTTCTGTAGGCTGAAGGGCAGTTGAATGCAGGGGTTTACATGTGATTGAACCTCCCTTTATTTCTTTGTCCTTGCTTAGTTAAGTACCATCTTTGAATGAAACTTAGTCCTCTTACCAGGGTCAGATATCTACTTTCTAAGCCAAAACTGCTGATCTGAACTGGCTAATCTGAATCTGCACTTTATTAAGTTGTTGACCACATTATATAAATCTGCTGCAGTTGAGAGAACAGTAAAATGTGCCTCTTTTCTCTTAGTAAGGCGTGGCACATAAAAAGGACATAGTTTGCATATTTTAATTCTTTGAAATGATATGGGAAATGTAAATCTTTGCAGTTCTTAGAGATTGAAGAGAAAAATTATTGTGATAGATTTTGACATTTTGTGGTTTGATTTTTTTTTCTCTTACGATAAATAGGGATTTGCTTTAAGTGAGTGCTAATTTGTGTACAAATTTCTTCTCACATAGCAACTGTACTAGTCATCACAAAAAGGAGCAAAGAGAGTATATGATATGCCCTAGAGTTCAACATGTATCATTATAGTTGTTTTATTTTTATATTTTATGATAGCTTTATTGAATGTCTATCTCAAAAAAGTTACTTTGAAAATGAGAATTATCTCAGAGTCTTTGAACAGGTATACCAAAGTGGATGATAGAATTTCAGAAAAGTGAGGGACAGATGCTTTCATCTGAAACAGACACAAATTCAGAAACTAATTTGGAAGTGATAAAAATTAATTTGCACACTTTAATTGGAATCAGACTCCTGCATGAAAGAAAGGAAGGGTAGGCAGCTTGTGCTAAAGGCTGATTGAATTTTTTGTCAGGTAAGTATGTTGGACTTGGCCATTTATCCTCTTGAGCCTCTCCATGCAATATATTACATTCACCCTCTGACTGGTGTTCTTTAAAAGGATCAATGCTATTCCTGTTTTTTCCCTAGAGCCTGAAATTTCATTGATCTTGGGACTTGACATTTCTTATTACCTATTGTAGCTTCCAAGATGATGGCCACAAGAGGTGTGAGAGTTAACCCCCCTTTTTCTAATGGGAACTGTGCTGACCATTGGAACATATTGTGTCTATCAGCCCTAACCTGGGTTTGTTTAGCGTTGTAACATAATCTTTAAAGGTGCTAACAATTCATCCTGTTCTAGTGAGTGTATTCTGTATATATCTAAAAGGAAGGGTAAGCATTAACATAAAAGATCTTTGTCAAGTTAACCTGCATTTTTTTTGTCTGTCATGAAGTATAGCTTTTTGTATTTGTTTTACTTAACACAATTTTGAAACAATTTAAAATTGTGAACATCAAGGGTTC